GAAGTTTATTGGCTAATTAACCTTTAAAAAACCTTGTAACTTGTGGTCTTGTGACTGTTGACCAAGAACATCAGGTGAATATGATGAAGACACTCTCACAGCTTCATGAGACTGTAGAAGAATAATAAATCATGTTTTAAGACATCTCCCTGTGGTCGCATCCCTCTCAAAATCCCGACAGAAAGAACTATGACAATTGATATTTAGTCCTTGCAACCTGAAATGTTGGACTCCCCATACAGAAAAACAGCTCCATCCCAGAATGCCGCCAGCACCATCCACACAACATCTCCTGGACCTTCTGAGACAGGCGCTCCAACAAGACGTGCTCAGGTATTTAGTGCATTTTTAACATTCTGTACTGTGTGTTATATTTTAGCACACTTGCTGGTGGTGTAAAACCTGTGATGTGAATGTGCAGGAGCAAGCCTGAGCATGTTTTGCCTCAGACATTCCAACAGCTGTGACTGGAAGGTTGTGATCAGGAGGAGAGGCTCCTGCAGGGATGGAGCAGCACTGTCTTTGTCATCGAAGCTGTGGGAAAAAACAAACCCCTCAACAGCATTTTTAGCATTAGAGAATCAAGTCATTACTTTATTCTGGCCAGGATGTGCAAGAGAAATAATTTCATCCTCATATAGCCTGGGTGTGCAGAGAAAATAATTCCATGGCACATGACCCTTTACTAGAATTTTCAGATATTTATTCAGTCAAAATCCACTGAAATTCAGGGTTCAGTGTTCATTGGTTCCAAGTTAGGGAGTTCTTAGTGTTTGTTTTCTTATTGGTTACGGGTTTCTTAGCTCATTTGGTCCTCACTCTTATTTCTTATCAGTCTTTTCCAGACTGGGTGTCTCCGATCATATCAGTGCTGATGTTTAGAGTTGATGGTTGTTAATGGTCATTGATGGTCATTATCTTTTGTGTATCTTAGGTGCTAGTCCCAGTCGGTTGAGATGTTCATGTCATCACACCTTGAACGATGAAATAATCCTTTGAAAAGAACCTTAAGATCCCATTACCCTGGAGCAAAGGCTAACAAGACTGACTAAAGATACAAAAACTTTTAAATTTTGTATCATCTTCCAACATCCTGAGCCAACTTTCTGCTCTGCAGATGGAGTCGAGCTCAGTCCCCACCCTCAACTCACTCCCTGGAGAAGGGCTCATAGGGCTGGCTCTGCATGCGTGTCAAAACTGTCAAAAAACTACCACACAGAAGAGGCTGTGCCTGGGTGGGGCAGATGGGGCCTTCTCACTCTCTTTTCCCTCTCTCTTTCTTTCATCTCATTGTTTACTCCAACACTGCCCTCTACACACGGCAGGAACAAAGCAGGATGTACAGATATGTAATACTCTCTGTTCTGTCTCTCTCTTCTCTGCCTTAATTTCTCTCCCCCTGCATTCTGCCTGGGAAAAGCACAGCTGTCCTGTTCCACTCCATCCTTGGCCCTGAGGTTTGCAGTGGGAGTGGGGAGCTTGTGGCCGTGTGCTGTGTCTTGTGAGCCAGCACCTTTGAGAAGGTCCTTCTTTGAGAAGGGAGGAGCTGAGAGATGATTGAAGGGCACTGAGGAAAACTAAGGACTCCTTAGTCACCACTTGTGAAACCTTCTTGTACAAATTTAAGGGCTTGTTAGCCAACAAGCTAACAAGCAAGTTGGAGTGAAGGCAGTTGCACCAGAAGCACAAGAATTTCTTGACAAGTGACCGATGTCTTTGTTCATCCTGATGAGAATTCACAACCATCACACCCTGTATTCCTGCGATGTTGTAGTGAAGCAGTAATCTTGTCTTTAACACATAAAACCATGAAACAGCCAGGTGCCTCTTCAGTAAACCATGTGGGTGTGTGACAGCAAAAGCCGAGTCTTTTGCTGGTGTGTACAAGCAGAAATTAGGAGCTAGACAAAACCTCCCCATTTTTGGGAGGCTTTGATGGAGGTGCTGAAGGGAGCGTATACCTTGCAAAGCCTTTTAGCAGTAGACTTGGAGAGGGACTTGGTAAGTCCTAAGATGAGAAACTAGGAATGCAATAGAGCAGGCATTTACCTGCACGTCTTCGGTATTTGACAGCTCTTTTTAGTTAAGAAAGGTGTGTTTTCAACCACTACCAGTTCACAAATGCTGCTTTTTTAGAATTGGAGCAAAACCTGATCCTGATCATAGATCAATGAATTCTTTTGTATTGCTGCAGAAACAGCCTCGGCCTTCTGGCTTCACCAGTCCTGTGACGAGCAAGAAGCAGAGGATTGACCAGTAGCCCAGTTACATCCAGCCAGGAGCTGGTGGGCACTTTTCTTCCTGGCTGCTGGCTTTGACGCCCCACTCCACCTCCTAGCTGTCTCCAAATGTTGGCTCCATTTCCCCCTGCATTCATAAGATTTAAGACAGAGACAAATATTGGGGTTCCAGAATCCCAACACTTGTGCACAGAAGACTACCAAGTCCAAAAAGACGTGAAGAGAACTGGGGAGACTGAAGCAGTAGTGTCCTTTGCATTTCAATGAAGGTATTAATGTGCTGCTTTTCCCAGCTTAACTGTGGATAACCGTGGTGTAAAGATTTTATTATTAAGAGAAGTCCCTGCCTGAATGAAGGTGCAAGAAAGACCATATTCCAGAGTCAATAGTACAGACATTATTTAACAGTAAATGTGAGCTAGGGAGCTAGAAAGAAAGAGGAGAGGGGTGGGACAGGGTGAGGAGGAAATGCTGAGATGAGCACCAAGACACGTTAGGCCTGGAAAGGCCCTTCCTTCCTGCAGTGCAGTTGCCCAGGGTCAGCTGCAGCAGTGGTGCTGCATCCCCTCATGGTATTTGCAGTGCAGGAGGGGAGGGGGAAGTGTGTGTGTGTGTGTGTGTGTATGTGTGTGTGTGGTATGAAGCACTGGAAATAATTGCTCTCATCTTCTCTCAGCGCTGTGATGTTGGCAAGGGCAGTCAGGCCTCCTGCAGCCTCGGGCTCTGGGGCAGCGGCTGCGGCCTTCGGAGCAGGCACGGCAGGGCCCTGGCTCATACTGGATACAGCCAGGGATGCTCCGTGGGAAGGTTGAGGGCAAATTGGGCCCTGCAGGGGAGCAGTTGAGGGAGGCCTGTGGTGGGGCTCTTGCTAGGGGATGTCAGGGATGTCACTGGGCAAAAGCCAGTAATCCAGACTATTGTTTCTCTGGTACCTCCCAAAATGTTGAAAGGCATCTGCAGTTTTCTTTTCAAAACCATGCAGCACACCGGTCAAGTGCATCTGGCCTGGGATGCATCATTGGCACAAGTGATTGTCTCTCTTGGCACTGAAATTCAAGTTGTTAAAAATTTACTGCTTGTAAATACTAATCTCAGGGTGCTTTGAAGGATTTGTTCCCATGTGGAAGGAGATTTTGTCATCTAAAAAGAACCAGGCCTAGAAGAGCAGAAGCACTGATGTGGCAGTGTTGAGAAGTGTTATCTATTATTCTCGTTGCCACTTCATCTTGGATTTGTGTCATGAGCTTGATAAACTGCACTCACGTTGATTTGAGGGAGAAGGGAATGAAGAAGGTTTTACTCCCATCAGTGGCTTCAAACATTAATGATTTTTCCCCTCCTTAGGGGCTGATGTGGCTTGGGCTTTTTGTTGTTACGGTTTCACACATGTCTGGAGTTTGTTTTTAGGTCTGTATTACAAATGCTACAATTGTAGAAGAACGGTGGTGGCTCACAGAGAAAGAAATCTCTGGAGTCCAACTGAGTGTATTTTTACTGTTTGTCATGAGTAAAATCAGACCTGCCAGGCTTGAAAACTTCTGAGTCTGCCTCAAGGCTATTTTAAAACAAAGGACATGAAATTCTAAACTCTGCAGAAATGTTTACAAGTCCCTAATTTTCTTTGGATTTCTCCTTCATAGGGTAGCCCCAGATACTCTGAGATGAAGACCGGGTGCCAGTATCTCCACAAGAAGCTGTCCCACATTCAGCGATGAGGATCTGAATTTTGCAAGCAGCAAGTGGAGTCCTGGCAGCAGTTGTCTGCTTCAGCACGGGAATCTATGAACTCCAGCTTTTTTATTTCAAAAAGAAGATTAGTTGTTTTAGGATTATTCAAGTTAGCACTGAGGAGATGATTAGTTATGATTAGAACCTAAGCTTAGTTTGTCTAAGATTATAGAATTTAGTACTGAACTTCAACAATAAAGAAGCTGTGTTATTGTTAACTCCTCTTGTTGTCGCTTCTATCATATTTGGAGTGGCTTTCTTCTGGTCAATTATTTCCTTCAAGACTTGGCTATGGCCACTGAAATAATTTGATCCGTAGAGGGTGGAAGCCCAGTACCTCTACTATGAAGCTGTCCACATTTTAAGAAGCAATGTAAAAACGGAAACCCTTAATGATGAGAATAAGCTTGTTTTCTGACCCATCTTGTTAATTGAAGCTCTTTGCCTTAAGTGGTGGAAGGCGTAGAAGTTTGGACAACCCCATCCCCCAATCACCTTGTTTTGGGGGCTTACAGAGGAATGCATATGGGCTGCTGTAAGCTGTCGGCTGAAGCAGCTCCCAGGACGGCTTGAAGATCATGGCTTCACTTTATCAATGAGACAAGGAATACGCAGATCTTTTGCAAATGTTTTGTAAAACACATAGAGGAGTGTTGGAAGCAAGGTACTTCAACAGGTTTTAAAGAGAAATTGGGTTAAAATGTCCCTATTCCCTGCCAGTTTTGTAGTTTGCTCTAAAATGACCGGTCACAACCAATCTTTCTAGAGACACACAGATGTTGACTCCTGCACAGACCTATGGGGACTTTGAAGTCTAGTCATGCTGTTTATTTATTCAGCTGACAGGGTAGAGGTTGTGGCCAGCAATGGCATCATTCTTTTGGGGAAGGATATGAAATTGACTGAGGGAGAACAATATTTGGGAACATTCAAAGGGGCTTTGAATGCCCCTTTCTTCCTTGGAGAATATTTTGCAATATACAATTTTAAATTCCTCAATTGTCTCCATGCCAACAATGTTGAAACCCTGTACCTAAGGAGATCTTGTGACATATTGTGATCGAACACCTGTAACATCATCTAAGCCTGCTTCCATCCTGGTGCCACTCACCATTTCAGTGAAGAAGAGAAAGGAGAAGACAAGACAGTGATAATCACAACAGGACCATTTACTCCACAACCAGCTTAGAGTAGGATTGTAGAGTAGGAATGTAGGGTAGGATTGCAAATAAATAAAGTTTCTGAAACCTCAACACATTTGGAAGATTTCCCTCCATTTGACCCGGTGAGAAAGCTCAACATTTCCTTCTGAGTTGTCAGTAGTCTCTTAAAGGTGCAAAGCTACATTTATGTCTTCTTTGGTGTTCTTTGAAAGTGGGGAAGGCTCTTCTTCAGTCATCCACTCCAGACCACACTGCCTTTGGAATATGGCCCACTGTGGCCCACGGACCAGGTTTTCTCCA